TGGGGTAATAATATAGTGTGAAGCGCATAGAGCCTGCTGTTGAGCGGGGATATGCGCTATACAAATGCTATCTATCTATTATTATTATTAAGAGCGGTTCCCCGATCATCCGTGGTGCCCCAGCGGTCATCTAATAAGAGATAAGTAAAGTGCAGTACGTAATCTGCATATTGAGTTCTTACAAGATGTTGGATGGTAAAGTTTGTGAATTTAAAAATAAAATGCAGGTAGAATCTTTTATCCTCGTGAGTTTTTCTCGGAGCACAAATGTCGTTTCCCAACAAAACAGAGATAACCATTTTGGCTTGGAAGACTGTCTCGCCGGCCGGTCGCAACAAGAATAAGACATATTTTTGTTTGGTAGAGATTTTACGGCGCTCGCAACTGCATAAAGTCATATGAGCGCCAAGTGGTGGATGTCAACAGAGAAGTCAAAACGGGGAATCAGGTTTACTCTGCTCACCTCTCTGGCCTCAACAGCACAAAGTCTGCTTAGGCTATCAAGGCACCCCGGAAATAGCAGCTCACAAGAGAGAGACAAACACACAAAAGATGTAGAGGAAAACAATTACATTAAATGGCGATAGTAAGGATGAGGAAAGGAAAAGCAGCAGTTCCCCCTATGTTGTTCCGGCACAGTATGAGCATGACATTGATAAATCAGCCCATGTACAATTCTACTGTGCATAAGAACATGTTAATATCCTCCCTTTGGGAATGGTCTAGAAACAACTTCAGCCAGTAGTACTGCCCTGGTTTGAGAGGGGGATTAGGAGATTTTTGTGTGTGTGTATAAGGCCGGCGGCCAGGTCATCTTCGGCCCACCAACAAAACAATTATAGTTAATAAACTTATTGAATCTACGTTCTATAGTCAAATTGCTATCAAATTTTCTTGCTGGATTTTGAATAACACAAAAACGGTTGTTTTTTCACGTAGATTGCAAAATGTATTATTTTCTTATCACAACGCGGATGGACAGCTGTCAGCTTCAGCCGAACATGTAACACGCCGTTTAAGTTGTGTTTTTGACGCACCGTATCTAGAATCTACTCGAGAACACGAGACGCAGTAGCAGCTATAAGTGATACGTCTTGCCAGCGCTTGCTTGCTCGCCTTATTTTTCTCTCGCGTGAAGCATTCTCATTGAGTTCGGCCTAACAACATACTTACCTGATTGCATCCTGGGTTAGTGGGGTGAACGACATAGTATATTATATA